GTTGAGAAATAAAACACTTTAAAATGATCTTTCATCACGTGATGACATGATCGCGTAGATGAATCGATTATTTTAATAAATGAATAAATGATCGATCATCATCCATCCTCTACATCGATCTCATTGCAACTGAATGGACTCACCGTATTGAAATAGTGCGTGACGAAACTGACCCAAGGCTGCCACTCCGGAAAGAGATGATCTACAGCCTGTGTTCCAGCGAACGTGGCGAATCCTTCGTTCAGCCAGATCTCCTTCCACCACTGTCTCCGTTCATTTTCACTCTCATCACTTCACTTCACCTTCATCGTAACTAAATTACCGAACCACTGGTGGGCCACTGTTCGTATTACGGTCAGAAAATTCGCGTGGATGTGGATGAAATTTACGTTCGTGGGCCACGGTGGAGATGCAGTGGAGCTTGGAAGAAGTGTTGGAGACTTTTGGATCGAAGAGGAGGAGTCCATCACGGTAGGTGATGAGGCCCCAGTGTCTGTCTTAGGTCGGTATGTGCTCTGATTGCAGAAGACAAGTGAGGTATGATGAAAGCTTATGATGTGAGGAGATGTCATGAAAACGATGGAGTTGATGAGGTGAAATGAGATGCGATCAGATGCGATCAGATGTGATCAGACATGATCAGACGTGATGATGTGAGTGGTTCATATGGAGTGGATGAACCGATGGACAAAAGTATCATCTCTCACTCCATAGCCCCAAATGCCATGTCAGCTATTGCCACACTATCTAATTTGGGCAGAGGGTAAGCGATCCCGTAATATTCACTGAAATAATCCAAAATCTTCACTGCATCGATTTCAGTCCCCCGTTTCGTTCTTCCATCGACATGCATGTGTTTTCGTTCTCAATCATACTCGCAGCAATTCAAGTGTGAAGAAGAACACACGATGATGATCGATGAGGAGACGATCGGTGAGAGGTGATCGATGCACAGGTGATCGATGCACAGATGATCGATGTGATGATGATCGATGTGATGATCGATGTGATGATCATCTTAAAGATGAACAATAGTCTCACCGGTACACTCGAGGGAAAACTTTGCCGAATCTCTCCTGCCGATGGGAGTGAAGAGTCTCACCCTCACACCGGCTGTTGTCCTCGCTTCCATGTATTCCAAGTTTCCAACAACAACGGCCACAAGATAAGTAGACATCAAGGGTGTCGGTTCAAAGTGTAGAGTCACGTGTCCATCTCCGGCTGTTTCGTGTCAGACATCTCATCTCGATGATACGATCTGATGATGGGGACGATGTGAGAATACCATCCGAGCGAGAGATGCAGTCCATGTTAGAGAGGGCGGTTAGATTGTTTCTGACGGTCAGTGTGATGCAGAAGATGGCTTTGATGTCTGGTTCATCCCAACACGGAAAGACCTGTCGTTCGTTCAATTTCTAAAGTGAAGGAGTGTTTCGGTTCTCTTCTTTCGTGATGGATGAAACGTGATACCTTTCTTGCCGATGTGGGAGCCATCTGTGTGACAGCGACACTATAGATCGCACCGTTGGTGACATAGTGAGAAATGTAAAAACCCATCATCTTCGTGTTCAATAACCCTTCGTATCGTATATCTAACTGAAAGACGCCAGCCTATTTGAATAACTATGTGATGTTCCGACGTAAGGATCACCTCTAATTGGTAATCGAAGAATATGCTGACCGTCTCCGTATCTGCGTCAGCCACCAAATCGCATGCCTCGATCTTTCCGTTGTTTGCGATGAGTAATATGGAGGAGATCTGCTCGACGCATGAGTCTATGATGATGGACGGAAAACAAACCGAAAGATCGATACAATGTAGCGTGATGCAATCGACTTGCTCCAAGATCTGTATGGTCACAGTGAGATATCCCGCAAACGTTGATTTCTGCATGTTGGGCACCAGATGGAGATCATAGCGAAGCGGGCGAACATTTTTCGGCAGCAGATTTCTGTCGAATGTATCGCCCGCTCCTGTATCTTTTTCGATTCCCTCTGTCGTCGTGATCTGATTTGTTTGTTGAACGTAATGAGATCTCGGCATTTTAAAAACACCACAGACACATATCACATCGGGCAGGGGTCATGTGGTATTTTGACCTACAGATAACGTGCACAGTCGTCACTGCCGCTATTGCAGTGTGGTATTCTTCACAAAAGGCAGTCTCACTCGATCACATTTTTCTGAGCGATCCCGATGATAGTGAGTTGTGGCACTCGATCGATCTGACAGAAAGCAGACACGACGATCAGCACTTCATTAGCTCTCATTTTACCCCTCATCAGCTCTGTGGGGCTTCTCCTGATGGTCTATTACGATTTTGTGGCACAAATCGCTCTACTCACGTCTCTGGTCACGGCAGCCACTGGACTCTACCTCTTATCCGGCTCACTCATTCCTCCAGGGTGATATGATCATATGTTCCGTTCCCTCTGACATGCGATTGCAGTCACGATCTATCGAGATTCTCGATGATGAACATCCTCAGAATCACTGTCATCACAACACTCGAAGTATCATGGTTGATCACGGGAGCATGGGTTCTTAATAATGGTGACCGGACGATGATGATGTGGAAGGTCTCTCTAACCACTCTTCCAGTCATGGCACTCGGCATCTGTGTCACCTCCATCTTGTTCATCCGTTTGAATCACCTGAAGACCACATCTCTGCTCCTCGCTGGTTTATTTCTGTACGATATCTTCTGGGTGAGAAACGCACACGGTCTCTCACGTCTTCGTTTTCGATCACATCACTTGGTCACGATCTGACTTTGTTCAGGTCTTCCTGTCTCCTTATGTATTCGCCAGCAACATGATGTGAGACGATCGAGATGATGATAGAGATGATGATAGAGATGATGATCGTGATGGAAAAGTGACGTTCAGGATAGGGTTGATGCAGCTTCGAAATCGGCAGAGAATCCTTCCGTGGCTGCGGCAGAGATGCTCCACGTTCCAGTCTCTTGGATCGCATACAGATTGAGCCCTCCCGCCAAATTTGAGTTCCCGCCGATGGTGTTGGGACTCGGTGACGTGGTGAGAAATTCTTTCACGTCCGTCATCGCATCATCGATGCCAACTCACGATGATGATGACATCAACCATCTTCTCATCATCTCCACCGCGATCACACCGTCATCACATCATCCCTCGCGATGATCGTCACGATCATCATCATCACGATCGTGATCGTGCCTCATAAAGACATGACACCATCGCAGGTGATACCGGGGGCCGTTGTGGCGTACTGCCTCCGAGTCGATACCAAGTGGGGCACCAGATATTTTCGCGTCTCCTTCTTTGGCTACCTCTTCGGTCTCATCTCAACCATGTACATAGCTGACATTTTCAAGTGAGACACCAGCGACTCATCCTCTCGACTCACACGTACAGCGCCGCTCAACCTGCCCTCTTATATATCGTTCCCTCTCTACTCGGCTCCATCGTGTACCGTGCACACAAACGAGGAGAACTGAAACAATTGCTGAAAGAATCAACGGACGAGATGATCGCGCTGCCAGTCATCACGAAGACATCATAAATCTGGTTTCTTTATCGTTCCGTCGTCATTTGGCCGTCGTTCTGTCCCTCTTCCGTTGCTTCTTCCTTTCTACCGAATTGATTCTGTACAGAGTGTCCATTTGGATGTCCATCCATCGTGGGGGGTGATGGATATCCATCCATTATGGGGGGTGATGGATGTCCATCCATTATGGGGGGTGATAGACATCCGTCTATAGACGATGATGATGCGATGTCATAGCCCAAAAGCAAGGCAGGTTGTATGTTGAGCGGTTGGTTGTCCAATTGCGATGGGTAAATGCCCAGGTAGTCCATGGCGACCATGGTAACCAACAGGTCCAATTGCGTCTCTCCCGTGTGAATTGAACTGAAGAGGGTACCCGAAGTCTGCTGCTGCTTCGTTCTGTATTCGATAAACTGCCACGTATCACAGGTCTCCAAGTAGCTGACCTTTCAGACGTTAGTGTGGGCAGACGTACCGTACGTGGGTCTCACCTGCCTTCGCATCTTTTCCGGCCCTCGCTCAGCGTAAGAATATCTTCTCAACATACGCCCCATCTTGACGACGCCTCTGGACGGTTTCCAGTATAGACCGTCCGCGTTGGCAGAGGGTGTGAAGATACCACGGTAGAGGTAACAGCAGGGAAAATGGATGGTTGTACCATCGTCCTCTGTAAGTACGTTTAGCGTTATCGGCTTCCTGAAGCGTTATTCACCGAATACCTTCATTCGAGAGGACCGGTAGGAGGTCTCAGGAATGGGACCAGATGGGAAGGCTACCAGAGTCAGGAGACGTTGAACGAATACCGTCCACTCTCTGTTGTCCCATTCGATGTCACCAGAGGTGAGGTAGATTCTGTATCGGTCGCCCAGAGAGGTCGCTGCCATCTTGAATCCTCTGAGAAGGCAGACGAAATACGTACGTAGTTTTTAACTCCGAAACTCCGCGCCGCCGGTGTTTTGAAACACCGGGAATACAACCCGTGATATTGGAATTGGAATTTCAATACGATATGCATCTGGTCAGCCGCCTCATGTTTGAACGAGAGAATGAGTAGGGCACATCGTGGGTACCGTTCTCATCATTTTATGGGGTTTTTTTGAATCAAGCCAAGTGAAAGTCACCCATTTCGCGCGATATAAAAGATGAGATACTGATCGATGGCACGAGAGAATTCTACGATCGATTGGAAGAGATAAGATGGAATCCGTATCGATATGGTCGGCTGTCATTCGGAAACTAGCGGTTAGTTTGGCGGGCTCGAAAATCAACCTCAGAGATCTCCGCATTTGATTCGGTGACGATCATCGGGAGGTGAGACCACTATCAGATGTTCGTGATGTTTCTGCATCGATCATCTCTTAGTTGGCAGATTCGTGGATATCTGAGGCTAAGATAATGGCAGTATATTTAAAAATCGGCGAAATTACCGAACACCAATGAAAAAAAAAATCAGATCCGGCAAAAAGGTGAGTGGAGAACCAGGGTATCGATCCCTGTGCCCCTCGCATGCTAAGCGAGTGCTCTACCATTTGAGCTAGATCCCCAATGTGTTTGGAGCGGTCATAACACACAGACATAAGGTCGAATAATTCAAGACTCGTAGGAGTTAGATGTCATGTCACATCGTGTGAACAAAACTCATGGACAGTCACACGAACAGAAACACGTGTCCATGGCAGAAGAGAGTATGAGAAGAGACTCAGAATAAAACTGACGTTATGATTATGAGCTCAATTGTCTTTTTATCCACCGTAGACCCCAGCAGTCCGGCATGGTAAGGGTTTTATCTTGTAGAGGTTCTTCCTTCTCGTTGCATGAGTTTTTGAGTGCTACCGCCTGCCCATCTGATTTTCTTCTAAGACCTCGGCCGTGAGACCGTCTCCAAGCATCACGTCCCTCATCTCGTATTGAATTCCCAGGGGTGAAATGCCAGTTAAGATAGTAAATTGCTGGACATTCAATACAGTAGAATAACGCTACGTTATATGATTCTTGTGATTTCAAATTGTAAGCCCTCATCATGATCGTCAGCGCTGAACTTCCAGAATGCGAAGTAAGTTCATTCATCTCTGCCAATGTCCATGATGATCGGATTGTGCGTGGCGATGTTGGACGTGAAGGTCAAATTGGGACGTTTCTTCAGAGGGTCGCCCTACGCTTCAACTTTGAGTAGAGTCTAAGTATAACGGTTGTGAAAAATAATTGACAAAGGCGGAGCGGTGCTGATCCAGCTCGCTTTGAATTCATACAGTGTTGTGATGCGTTGAGATTTTCAGATCGAGGTAAGATAGACGACGTCTCGATCATCACCATAAGCGCATCGATCGTGTCATCACTCTCACGGCCGTCCGATCACATCATCCAACATCCATTGATGCATCCAACAAATTGACTTCATCATCAGTAGTGCAATTTTATCAACTCGTCAGAGACAGCAGCCGGAGTGAGCACACCCAACTCAGTGAACAATAGGTTAATGTACCGCGGTGGCGTGTAGTCTTGCGACGGGCTCTCCATCTGTTCCTCGTTCAGCCTCCATATACAACGGAGCTCTTCACCTTGATCTTGTTGTGTTCTTCTTCGGAAGCAATCTCTCTCTTCTGTGACCACATGTCGTCAGTGGATCTGTGTAGTCGTGAGTTAAACCCTAAAACCAGACCGTCGGCTTGTACCTCTTTGAGTCTTTTGTCATCTTTCCAATGTCCTTCTGGTTTAGAGGGTAGAGTCTCATGAACTTGAAACTCTCGGCGGCCACGTAGAATGGCTTGCCACATGCCTTTGCGATGATGGAAACTTGATAAGTCCCAACCTGATGATCGTCAATCATGTGATGATCGACCGTGCGATGATCGTCATCCATCGTGTGACGATCATCAATCGATCATGTGATGATCGTCGATCGATCGTGATCGCGATCGGATCATCGCGAGGAGCTCATGAGTTTAGCTCACCTTGTTGATGATTCCACCGTTCTCAACGATGCCTTCTGCTCCAACGAATACGAGATCGATGTGGTCCATGATGTAAGCTACGGCTGAATCCAACACGAGAGTGACAGGCACGCCCATCTACAGAGTCGAGTGAGTCGAGACGATGATGATGATGACGATGATGACGGTGATGGAGGATATACCTCTTGCAGTTTGGCAGCTGAGGCAGAGCCAGTCGTGGTGTCATCCACCTTTGGTCTCGCCTCTGTAACGTAGACACTGAACCTCTTTCCGTCGTTGACTGCTCTTGCTAAGACGGCCCTTTTCATGTGAGATGATGGTGGATGATGATGGCGATGGAGGTAAGTTGACTTCTCACATGACGACACGTGAGTAGCCGTGTATGAGGACTGTCATTCCATCTCGAATGAAGGCGGCGGCGAGGCTTCCGATCTTGTTTCGACTCGTTTCTGAAATCTTGACGTATTCTTGTCCCTTGGCGATCAGTTTCTTCTTGCATTCGTCGAAGTTCTGATGTGACATCAGATGTCGATATGGATGGAATGGACACACTGGATAGTCTCCGGAAGCTCTGAGAACGAAACGAGTGAAGAGATCACAACCCGATGCGACGGAGAGTGCATCACTGTAATCTTTCAAGACTTCAGAAGCCGATTTGAGTTCTTTCTCGAGCTGCATCATCGTCTGAGCTGAAAGAGGATGAGAGGACAGTTGGAAGATGGACGGATCACCTCTGCTGACACGAATGACTTCTGTCAGTGCACCGACGGCTGCAACTGCAGCAGCCATGTTGATATCACGTTCTAGATGTTGGATGAATACATTGAATACTGTTTCAGTTAATCGTGTGATCATTATAAAGAACGTCATCACCCCAAGCGTGGGGATGTTCCAACTTCGAGGTGAAGAGATTCCCGATAGTTGCCGGGGTTGGGTTCGTCATAGATGTGGAGATTATGGATGAATGATCAGGAGATCTTCTTATTTGAATAAAAACGTTGAGCTGATCTCATCTGTCAGTGACACATCTCCCCTCCTACATACGACGACTCATGGCAAAGAAAAAAGGTAATCATCTCTCTTTCTAAATGAGTTTGATTTCTGCTTCGACATCTCACGATGCGTAGGATCTACGAAGCCAACCTCCCTGTTCGAAGCTTGCGATCACCCTAATGCAGCCGTCCAGTGAGTTGATATCGATTCTTCATCCTCTTAATCGGATAGTGTCCACGACCTTCTCACCAGCGGCTTCTCACCCAACGAAAAGGATGAACATGGGTTATATCCGTTACATTATGCCGTTCGAGCTGTGAGTCTGTCCATCTCATTCTGATGTTGACGATAAAAGGGATCATTACCTGCGGTGAACCGTCTGTTGAAAGAGAACAACATCAATCTGAACTGTAGATCCCCCACCGGGGAGACACCTCTCATGTATGCATGCAGATATGAGAGAGAAGACATCGCCAAGTGAAGATTCGATCGCACGTTTCGATTGTTGAATGTGACAGGGCATTAGTCAAGAGAGGAGCGGACATTTCATTAGAAGATAACTCGAGTGAGTTCATCGTCACATCGTAATGATCATGATCATTGTGCCTCGCATCGTCCCTCTTTCACTCATTTTTAAAAACAGAAAGAATTGCATTGGATCACATCTGCCTCACGAGAGTGAGCTGAATTTAAACCCTAAAACCAGAGATTGACATCCGCAGAACAAAGCGATGGCTGATGAGATGGAGACACTGCTGCGACCACCTACGAAACAAAAACAGACGACGGCAACGAATCAGAGTAGAACACCGAAACAGAGCGAGGTGATCGTCACGAGAACACCATCACCGTCGACTCATCATCTCAGCCGTTGGATGGAGACAAGAAACATGTGTGTGCACAGTGCGGACTCATTGGAGTGAGCAAGTCTATCATCATCATTTTCATCACCCCATCCATCATCTCACATCCATCTCATCACATCTCCATCTGATCTTATCTTCACACGATCTCCATCTCATCTCATCTCATCTGCATCAGGTATTAAAGAAATGCGCCGAATGCAAAGCTTGTTATTACTGTGACTCCCACTGCCAGACTCTCAATTGGGACGTTCACAAGAAACTCTGCTGGTCCCTCAACCTCCTGGTGCCAGACGATTTCGATAAATAATGGCGCGTTGTAGTTAGGAGTCCTTCTTCTCCTCTGTGATGTAGACCTTCCTGACAAAGGTGTACCAGATGGACATCCCGAGGAGGGCACCAATAATTGGGCCGGCCCAGAATACCCAGTGGTCGTCCCAATAATTTGCGACGAGGGAGGGACCGAAACTTCGGGCCGGGTTGAGCTGAGGGAGGTGAGAAATGGCGGGTTGTAGATGGAGTGTGGTGACTCACGCTGGCGCCGGATATGGGGGCACCTACCATCACCATGCAGAAGATGGTGGCACCTGATCGATCGTCAACATCGTCATCGCGATCGTCTCGTCTCGATCGTGGATGAACTGACGAGTTGATGGTGATGAGAGGAAATACAATGATGTGATGGTGTGATGATGCGATGATGAGCCGTCAATGTGATGACGAAGTGATTCAGCTCACCCACTGCCATGGCCACTAAAAGCGTCTGAGGGTGTTGTAGTTCGGCAGTGGGGCCCCTGTGGGTGAGAGACAAGAGTAGGAAGACTAATATGCACGTCGTCACCACCTTTCACGCGTTAAGAGATGCACACGATGAGAGTTTCACCTCATTGATGAGACCTCTTTGAGTGCCAGACTTGTCTCCTATCGGCACGTTGAAGGTGCAACCGTCGTAATAAGGTTTCCTCGTGTCTGGCACATCGTGAATAAATTGAAATAAAAGTCTGGGTTGGCTCACCCAGCGGCCACAGCTGCAACTGAAGAGCAGAAGCGGCGGCGCTTCCCAACAGTTGGGCGAAGACAGAGAAGATGGCCTGGAGGAGGGTGATGTCTTCTAATAGCCAGAAGACGACGGTGATCTGTCTTTGATGAGAAGAGTGGATGATGGGATGACTCACGGCGGGGTTGAAGAGGGCTTGACTGATCTTTCCAAAGATGGAAATGAGAACGGGCATGATGAGAGACCAAGTGAGTGCGACGTAGAGTAGTTCGTCTTGTGCCAAGATGGCGCCCTGCATTATAACATCAGATCTCGGTCATACATCAAATACCATCCATGTACGTACCAGGCCAACATACATCATGATGAATGTTCCTATGAATTCTCCCAAGATCGCCTTCCACAGATTCTCCCAAGACTGTTGTTGATTTTTCAGGACACACGTTGATCGTAGTTAGACATACCGCGAGATCCGACAGACGGCAACTGAAACGTCTGATCTTCTTCTCTCCATCAGAAGGCGTCTCTTCTGTGTTGACTGAAATGGGGATGTATGATTTCAAAAGAGACTCCTTCTCTGATCCGTATGATAGTGCATGACTCATTCTACTCCTGCGACCGATGATGGGATGGAAAGCGAGGAGACTACTTATGATCGAGTTTTCTGATGAGAGAACTCTGAGAAACGTCCGATGCGTGACATGCACATGAACCGAAACCTCCCGATCCTCTTCGAGGAA